AAAAAAAAAAAAGAATCCCATATCAGAACTTAAGGAGAAAACAACAGCAAATCAAATAACCCAATTAAAAAATGGGCAAAAGGCTTGAAGAGACACTTCTCCAAAGATGATAAACAAATGGCCAACAAGCATATGAAAAGATGCTCAACATCACTAGTCATCAGAGAAATATTAATTAAAACCACAATGAGAGGGTGGTTTTAATGAGCGCCTGGGTGGCTCAGTGGGTTAAAGCCTCTGCTTTCGGCTCAGGTCATGATCCCAGGGTCCTGGGATCGAGCCCTGTGGGAGGGCGCTCTGCTCAGCAGGGAGCCTGCTTCCTTCTCTCTCTGCCTGCCTCTCTGCCTACTGTGATCTCCGTCAAATAAATAAATAAAATCTTAAAAAAAAAAAAACACAACACAATGAGATGTCAGCTTACACCCATCAGAATGGTTACTACCAAAAAACAAGGGGTGCCTGGCTGACTCAGGAGAGCCTGTGACCCTTGATCTCAGGGTTGTGAATTCAAGCCCTATGTTGGGTACAGAGATTTCTTAAAAATAATTTTTTTTAAATAAAATCTTTTAAAAAATAAAAAACAGTTTAAAAAGATAAATGTTGGCAAGGGTGTGGAGAAATTGGAACCCTTGTACACTATTTGTGGGATTGTAAATTGGTGCAGCTACCATGGAAAACAGTATGGAGCATGCTCAAAAAACAAAAATAAAACTGTCATGTGACCCAACAACCACATTTCTGGGTGTATACCCAAGAAAATTGAAAGTGAGCCCTTGAAGAGATATTTGCACACTCATGTTCATAACGGCATTATTTACAGTAGCCAGGAGATGGAAACAATCCAAATGTCCATTGATGGATGAATTGATAAGCCAAATGTGGTCTGTACATATGATGGAATATTACTGAGCCTTTGAGAAAAAGAAATCCTGTCATATGCTACAAAATAGATGAGCCTGAAGGACGTTATGCTAAGTGAAATAAGCCAGTCACCAAAAAAGAAAGAAAGAAAGAAAGAAAAGGAAGAAAGGAAGAAATATTGCATGAATCCACTTATATGATGTAGCTAAAGTAGTCTAATATATAGAAATTTAAAGTAGAATGGTGGTTACCAGGGGTTAGAAGGAGGAAGAAAGGAAAAGTTGTTGTTTAATAGGTATAGAGTTTCAGTGCAAGATGAGAAAATTCTGGAAATCTGTTTCACAAAAATGTGAATATATTTAACACTATAACAATATGTTAGCTACATATACAATGTTAACATATATTAATAATATGCTAATAATATATTGAATCATACACTTAAAAATTGTCAAGATAGTAAATTTCAAGTTACAGTTTTTTATCACAGTAAAGAAAGTGTGTCTGTGTGTGTGTATAATTTAAATATTCGTGATCAGTGAGTAGTCAGCCCTTTGGGATTTGAAATAAACACTGTTTATCTGGCCAGAGAGATATTTGAGGATTGTAAAAACAAAATTATCTCAGCAAACTAGGAATAGAGGGGAACTTCCTCAAACTGATAAGGAACATCTACCAAAAAACCTATAGCTTACTTGATAGTGAGAAACCTAAAGATTTCCCTCTGACATCACAAACAAGGCGAGGATATCCCTTTCACAACTGCTTTTTAACACCATACTAGAAGTCCTAGCTAATGAAATACACAAGAAATGGAAATAAAATGTAGGCAGACTGGAAAGGAAGAAATAAAACTCTTTGTTTTAAAATGACATTTTGTGTATGCAGAAAATCTGAATCAATGACAAAAAATCTGGAACTTATAAATGATTGTAGCAATGTTGCAGGATACAAAGTTAATAAAATCATTTGCTTTCCTTTATACTAGTAATAAACAAGTAGAATTTGAAATTAAAAACATGGCCATTTACATTGGGATTCCCCCCAAAAATGAAATACTTAAGTATAAATTGAACAAAATATGTAAAAAAATCTTTATGAGGAAAACTGCAAAACTCTGTTGAAAGACAGCAAAGAAGAACTAAATAAATGGAGGGAAATTCCATCTTCATGGTTAGGAATACTCAATATTGTCAAATGCCAGTTATTCCCAACTTGATCTACAAATTCAGTGCAATCCTATTCAGAATCCCAGCTAGTCATTTTGTGAATATCAATAAACTAAAGTTTTTATGGAGAGGCAGAAGAACCAGAATAGTGAACTAACATTTTTTTAAAGATGTATTTATTTATTTGAGACAGAGAGCATGGCGGGGTGGGGGTGGGGGGCTTGGCAGGAGGGGAGTAGAGACAGAGGGAGAGGGAGAAAGAGAATCCCAGGCAGACTCCCCATCAGGTGTGGAGCCCGACAAGGGAGTTAAACCCATGACCCTGAGATGATGACGTGAGCTGAAATCAAGAGTCAGATGCTCAACTGACTGAACCACCCAAACATCCCAGCCAACTTAATATTGAAAGAGAAGAACAAAGTCAGAAAACTGACTTCAAGACTTACTGTAAAGCTACAGTAATCAAGACAGTTGTAATACTCAAGAAGAAACAAATAGATTCATGGAATGGAACAGAGAGCTTTCCCAGAAATAAACCCACATAAATGGAGTCAGCTGATCTTTGACAAAGGAGCAAGGGCAATACAATGGAGAAAAAATAGTCTTTCAACAAATGGTGCTAGAATGTCAGGGTATCCACATTCAAAAAAAAAAAAAAAAGAATCTAGACACAGAATTTACGCTCTCCACAATAATTAACTCAAAATAGATTATATAATATTATTATATTACGTAATGCACAAGGAAATAAGCCACCCCGAATAAGAGTCAGCAGAAACTACAAATAAGAAAAACAGGTGTAAAAATGCATCAAATGTTGACATCATCAGAGACAATAATGCCAAATACATATTTAATATCATTAAAGAAATAACATTTAAATGTCCACAGAGCAAGATGCTTTAAAAAATGATGGCTTATATTTTTTAAAGACCCAAGTAGATTTCCTAGAAATGAAAAGTAATATAATTTAAATGAACAATATCAATTGAAAGGTTAAGTAGCTTACTGGACCTGATATATGAATTACTGAACTAGACACTAGTTCTAAACAAATTACCCAAAATGCAGCCCGGAGAAGCAAAAAGGAGGAAAACTATAAAAGTATAGTTCAAGAGACTACACAATAATTCAGAAGAAAATTAAGATTAGGGTTTGCCATAGACTGAGTATTTGTGTTTCCTCCGAAATTATTGGAACCTAATCCCCAATGTGAGGATATCAGGAGGGGAAATTGGGAGGTGGTAAGGTCACGAGTATTGAGTCCTCACAAATGGAATTCCTGCCCTTGTGAAAGAGATACCAAAGAATTCCCTTACCCCTTCTGCCATATAAACATACAGCAAAAAGATGGCCGTCTAAGAACCAGGAAATGGGCCCTCACCAGTCACTGAATCTGCCAATACCTTAATCTTAGACTTCCCAGCCTCAGAACTGTGAGAAATAAGTTTGTTTATAAGCCAGCCAGTCTATGGTATTTTGTTATAGCAGCCCAAATGGACTACACAGGGCTGGATCTAAATTTCAGGCCACCTGTCCTTCTATAGAATGTGTACAACCAGATTTGCAGACTGAACTTCTGCCCCCTGAAACAATTTCGCTTCATTACTACTTTTCAGAACCACACTGTGCTAGACTCTAACTGTCCTTCCGGAATAAAGTGCAGACCCCCAAGGTGACAGGGGAGAACCTGAGAAACAAATTTAACTGGGTGCCTGCCACAAGTGGGATATGATACTTTGTGATAGGGCAGTCTACTGCATTCATACTACTTGAGAATGAAGATTTGACACACTGTTTTATAACTTTTCTTTTTCTTAAGCATTTTCACTACTGAATTCTTCCTGCATTCTAAAACCAGATCTGTCTCTGGTCTAGGCCACTATTCTACATACACTTTCCTGGCCTTCTGTAACAGTGTTCGGTTGTAAGTTCATAGTGCAGGAGGTATGGAGAAGCTTCTCTGTGGGTCCTGAGCAGTACTGATATGGATAGCAGTTGTTGATGAGACCCAGTTGGGTCTAGGCTCTCTCAGCAAAGCACCAGGTCCTGAGTGACCAAGGGCTGTGTGTGTTATATACCAAGCCTAGAGCCGAAACCCCTTTTGTCCATGTCTAAGGGCAGGGCCGCAAAGGGCCTTGGTGAGTTCTCCTACCAAATATGGGACAGTTGGTGTCATTGTCTGCTGGACACCAGACACCTGAGAAAGGGCAGAGATGCCCCAAATACTGCCAGAAGCCAGGTGATGTGCTAACTGCTGATTCAGTTTTATGCATGGCTTTCCCACCCAAAGAACCAAGGAAGGAAAAAAAAAAAATCAAGAAATCAAGACAAATAGCTGTTTTCGGGTTATTCTTGTGAATCACCCAGATGTCTTGCTTCCCCTCCTTGTGGTTTGTCTTTGGGCATTTCTTGTCTCCCTGGCCCCCACTGAAATGTTAAAGCCCTGGTGAGGGACTCCAGTGACGGCAGGGATGATCTGTGGTTCCCATTAGGTACACAGAAATTAGGGATTCCTGTCACTACAAATTTAAAAAGCAGCTACACCTCACCTGAGTCACCTGAGCTGACTCTTCAGCAATGAAAACAAACAATGTCAAGATTAAAGGGGAAAAAAATTAATGGATGTGTAAGACTGGTTTTAACCAGATGTCTTCTTCTGAAGGGGAATTGAGCTATACCTACATTCAGCATTCCTCTCCCCTGTCCCTCATAGTTATTCCCCCAAAAGCCAAATTAGGTTCAGGTGTGTGACTTCCCTTCCCCCCACAGAAAGTATGGCCCCAGAGGGAACTGATTTCTAATATGGCCTCCTAGGAGGGCTCCACCCAAGGTCAGGTAAGGCCATGTTGGGTTTAACAACCATCTGTTTTCTCTCCCTCTCTCTCTCACCAGGAAGCCTTGGGAGAAGATGAGCTATAGAATGTTCCACAGCAGAAAGAGAGAAATCATCAGAAGAAACAACCAAGAGCATCATCAAATCAATTTTATTACCTGTCTCTTACCAGCCTGTAGTACAACCCAAAAGGTAAAAACCTAAGTGTTTGCTCCTGATTTTTCAGAGCAGTTGTCTCCAAGGTCACATGCTTCTCTGTCTACTGCAGTGGTTCTCAACCAAGGGGCTGTTTTGCCTCCAGGGAACATTTGCCAAAGCGACACAAATTTTTGGTTGTGACCCCGGAAATGGAAATTGCCCTCGGAGCAAAACTTCTGTGGGAACCATTGCTGGGTAAGAAAACCTCATCTGTAGTCCATGAATTGGTGGAAGCTCAATAATTCATCAGTCTCAACTCTAACAGTTCGGAACTCCAGTTTTAGTGGGGGAGGAGGGACACATTTTTGTAAGCCCTCCCAGGTTCTCACAGTGAATATCTCCTCGTGCTTCTGGGAAGAGGGGAAAGAGTGTCATTTTAAAACACACGAGAATAATCTATTCTTAACAAGGCCTGCCCTCAAGGGAAACTGTTTTATCAGAGTCCTATGTACCGAGGTCCTAACAGAGCCTAACAAGCCTGAGAGAAGACAGATACTTAACTCCACACCCCTTGACTTCCTCTCCCACCTAAATTGGGGATAACTGAGGAACACGTGTGAAGGTTACAGCCCAGGAGCACAGGATCACTAACAGACTGAGTTCTAGTCATAAGACTGTAAAATATCCTCCTTCCCCCATACTTCACCCCTACAGCACTAACACCCATTTACCACAGTTCTTTTTCCCAGTACATCATGTCTGGCTTTCAACAAAAATTACAAGACATACTAAAAGCCAGAAAATACAATTTGAAGAGACAGCAAGTGTCAGAATCAGATTCAGATATGCCAGCAATGTTGTTAATATCAGGTGTTGAAAGAGAGGGGTTGTAAGGTCTCCTGTGATAATCACAGATTTGTCTATTTCTCCTTTCTCTTCTGTTCATTTTTGCTCCACATATTTTGCAGCTGTTTGGTGGGTGCACATTGAGTGTTGCTAAACTGTTTTCTTGGTGAATTGCTCCTTTTATCATGACATAATGTCCCTCTCTGTCTCTGGTCATTTTTTTTTTTTTGTAGTTCTGATATGTACTTTATCTAATATTAATATAGTCATTCCTGCTTTCTTTTGATTAATGCTTACATGATATATCCTTTTCTGTGCTTTGACATTTTTTATAATTCTAACCATTTGTAAGTGTACAATTCAGTGGCATTAAGTGCATTCACATGGTTGTGCAACCATCACCACATCCAGAACCCTTTTATGTTCCCAAACTGAAATTCCTATATGATGAAACCACAGCTCCCTATTTTCCTATCCCCGCTAGTCGCTAAAAACCACCATTCTACTTTCTACCTCTTTAAATCTGACTACTCTACGTACCTCATATAAGTGGACTCACACTGTATATGTCCTTTTGTGACTGGCTTCTTTCACTTAATATAATGTCTTCAAGGTTCATCCATGTGTTAGCATGTGTCAGGATTTCCTTCCTTTTCAAGGCTGAATAACATTCCATTATATGTATATACCACATTTGATTTATCTGTTCATCCTTCAGTGGACACTGGAGCTGCTTCCACCTTTTGGCTATTGTAAATGGTGCCTCGATGTTCAAATAGCTGTTGCAGTCCCCACTTTCATTTCCTTTAGGTTCATACCTGGAAGTGGAATTGCTGGACCAAATGAAGAGTAATTCTATGTTAAATTTTTTGAGGAACCACCATACCATTTTCCATAGTGGCTGCAGCAGTTCACATTCTCATCAGCAATGCACAAAGGGTCCAGTTCCTGCATACCCTCTCCAACACTTGTTCTTTTCTTTTGGTTTTTGTTTTAATAGCCATACTCATGGATGTGAAGTGATTCTATCCTTTTACTTTTGTCCCGCCTTTGTCATCATATTTGAAGTGAGTTTCTTATAGACAGCATAGAATTGGGTCATGTTTTTTTGACCCACTTTGCCATTCTCTGCTTTTTAATTTATGTTTTTAGACTCTATACAGTTAAAGCAATTATTAACATGTTAAGGCTTAAGCCTGCCATTTTTTTTTATGTTCGTTCTGTTTTTAATTATTTTTTCCTTTTTAAACACAAGCAGGCAGAGTGGCAGGCAGAGGCAGCGAGAGAAGCAGGCTCCCCGCCAAGCAGAGAGCCCAACACAGGACTCGATCCCAGGACCCCGAGATCATGAGATCATGACCCAAGTCGAAGGCAGCGGCTCAACCTGCTGAGCCATCCAGGCGCCCTGAAACTTGGACATTTTTATATTGTTTTCTGTTTTAGCTAGTTTCCTTTGACACTTCACTAGCAGAGGAAGGAGGGACTCAAGCTTCATCATTATTGCCATATGGAGGTACTATTCCAGGTTTCCCATCCAGCCTCCCTTGATATCTGGAAGTGATGGGGCTCCTTATTATTGCCAGGTGGGAGTTCTAGCTCCTAACATGGTCTCCACTGACATCATTGTTGGGGATGGCCTTTTTGCCACTGGACAGTGGTGAAAATCCTGACTCTCCATTAGGTCTCCTGTGACGCTATCCAGCCAGGGATGGGGGAGGGAGCAGGAGATACATTATTACTCTTAGGTCAGGGTAGAACTCCAGGCTCCCTATGTGGTCTCCACTAACACTGTGGGAGAGGAGGGTACAACATTACCCGCCAGCAGGGGTAAAAGTTCTGCCTCCCTACTTGGCTTTCTCCAGTATCACTTTGTTGGGGGTGTTGGGGCTCCTCATTATAGCTTCATGAGGGTGGAAATCTAGTTTCACCACTTGGCCTTTACTACTAAATGTGGAGGAGGGGACACAATATGTTTCTCTGTTATTGGAGTAGAGTTGTTATTATCTAAAAGTCTTCTGTCTTAGGGGTGCCTGGGTGGCTCATTTGATTGAGAGTCCAAAGCTTGGTTTCGTCTCAGGTCATGATCTCAGGGTCCTGGGATCAGTGGGAGTCTGCTTGAGGATTCTCTCTCTCTCTCCTCTGCCCTTTCCCTTGCTCTCTCTCTCTCTCAAAGAAATAAATAAATATATTTAAAAATAAAAAATAAATGTTTTCTGGCTTAGAAGGCCACTTTTCAAGGTCCTTTGGCTAGAGAAAACAGACTTGTGCAGGAACTTATTTTGCCTGTGCTTATTGCTGTTTTGAATTTCTACAGCTCCAAATCTTGGATATTTGAGGCAAAAAGAAAACTCAGAGAACTTATCATTGTGTCTTTCCTCAAGTCCTAAGTTTTCTAGCCTATCTGCCTTCTTTTCTTTTTTTTTTTTAAGATTTTATTTATTTATTTGACAGAGAGAGAGATCACAAGTAAGCAGAGAGACAGACAGAGAGAGATGAGGAGAAGCAGGCTCCCCGCTGAGCAGAGAACCCGATGCGGGACTTGATCCCAGGGCCCTGGGATCATGACCTGAGCCAAAGGCAGAGGCTTAACCCACTGAGCCACCCAGGCGCCCAACTTTACTTTTCAACGTCTTCTTATGTTTGGTTTGTATGCAATATCTATGTTTTCAGTTGTAGTTAGCAGAAGGAATAGGGAAAATTATGTCCATCTCCCCAGAAGTGGAAGTTTGAGAGAATGAATTTTAGCCATGTTTTTAAAATGAAGTTGATATCAAGAACAGCATTATCTTATTTTGTCAAAATCAATAAAGACTATAGAAATTTTATATAGCCAAAGGCGTAAGAATGAACATCAGCATTTACCATTCTGTTCTGAGACTCATTAATAGTTGTGCCATGAGAATAATATTTTATGATCAAAAACATCTGGGAAAGTCTTCATTTTATGTCCTTCCCTTTGGGACTCTCAATGCAATTAGCATACTAAAGGCTCTGAGAAAATCTGCAGTAATGAATATGCTTAATTTTTAATCCAGTGTTTCCCAAATTAACTTGAGCATTAAACATGTTTTCCCAGAATATCTAGTAATATCTTCTAATAGCATCCACTTTGGAAATACTGAGCCCCACACATAATCCAGGGGGTTATCTCAGGACCCACGGTCTACAAGGAAGGGACTGGCATCTTACTTTACGAGCTGTCCTCCCTGGTCTCCAGAAAGGTGGACATTCTGTCTCGACAGAACACATACGGTAGAGTGGTAGAGGGAGCATGGTAATCTTTTGTATTTTCCCAACACTAATAACCTTTGCTTTTACTCTCTTTTATTTACCAATTTAATTATTTTTATCTGTATACTACCTCTGCAAGGTAAGAGGGGAAAGTGTTACTATCCTTATTTCTTAGGTGACAGAGACCCAAAGAAATATAAGTGTGTTCCTAAAGGTCCTTCATAATCACAGAGTCCCTGCAATTTCTGACTGGAGCCCTGTCCTGCTAGATATGGGTGCAGTCTGACCTCCTGGGCTGGCCCTTTGGCATTCCATGCCCTGAGTCCTTGCTGGGCCTCCCTCAGGCCCCCCTAGCAGAAGCACACCAATGAAGCATCTAGAACCTTGCTCCCTGCTCTTGGCTCTACACAGGGCTCTGCCAGGATGGCCTTCCTGCTTTCCAGAAACCTTTGTTCTGTGGAAAACAAGTGCTGTTTTCCAGAACAAAACCTCTGGGGAGGTGAAGGGAAGCTAGAATCCTAAATACAGGATGAGGATCAAAATTGCTCCCTGACCCTCACTTCCTCTTTGGCCACCACAGCCTACTGTGCGACTCAAGACAGGAAGTGGCCTGGGCTTCAGAAGGTTTTTACAGAGAAGAAATGTTCCCAGGAAACATAACATCCAAGCAGCATACCCTGTGATCCCAGAACAACACAATAGTGATTTGTCTGCCACATTGCCTTCAGGGAATCAGGAGGAGGAAATGACCACTCTCTTATTTTGAAGAAAGTTCAGCACAAGGGCAAAATCATCGAAAAAAGTGAGACACTGGATGATGTTATAAAAACTAAACATTTGTCCCAGAAAAGAGCTCCTATCTGAAGGCCTTGATATTTGTTATTTCTATGGTGACATCATAGCCCTCCCCTTTTCTCTGCAAATGGTCAGAGAGGAGAGCAGTTCTTTAGTGGGGGAAGAGAAGAGAAAGAACAAGGGACTTTGGGGTTGACATCACTTGTCTCTGCTGGCCTTGCCTTGGAATTTACCGTTGCCCACAATTAGTTCTTCTTTCTACTTTGCAATTCTTCTTGCTGCTAGGGACATTAACTGAGGCATTACATTCTTAAATAGATTCTTCACTCACCAGGCCTGGCAGCTGCAATGGCTCTAAAAGTCCTTTGCTTCAAGTCATTGAGGACTGGACATAAAATCCAGCTATAAAATGTGAGGGGCGGTGGCGGGGGCGGGGGGAATAGTGTCAGTCGTTAACTCTTTAACTTGAATTCATTTTTCCAGCTTGACCAGATAGGCTCAAGGAAGCAGATGTGGACATGAGGCAGATTTGATTGGGAGGGACATCAGAAAAATATGGAACATGTCTGAACAGTAGGCCCAAATGGGGCCCAGAACAGCCACTCTGGTCAGCCTGGAGCCAGCATGAGGGCCCCAAGTACTTGAAGCAGGCAGGGAGGAGATGGTGAGAATGAGGGAGGGATATACTTCATTTTTTTATTGAAATATATCTGATACAAAACATTGTATAAATTTCGGGTGTACAATGTGTTGATTTGCTACATTTGTCTAATATGACTGTCATTGTAACAATAATTAGCACCTCTCTCATGTCACATAATTCCTTCTTTTTTATAGTGGGAACAGTTAATACCTAGTGCCTTAGTGAGTTCGATGATTCTAACATGTGACTATATTCACTATACTCTGCGCTAGATCTCCAGGATGTATTTGTCTAATAGTTGCCAGTCTGTACCCTTAAACAACTTCTCATCTATTTGCTACCTCCCAGACCTGGATAACCACTATTTTCTTCTCTGTGTTTACAAGTTTGGCTTTTTCAGATGCTGTGCAGTATTTGTCTTTCTCTGACTTACATTTGTTAGAATGGCTATAATTGAGAAGATAAGAGATAACAAGTGCTGGCAATGATATGGAGAAAAGGGAATTTGTGCATTGTTGTGGGAATGTAAATTGCTTCAGGTACCATGGAAAACAATATGGAGGGTCCTCAAAAAACTAAAAATAGTGCTGTGATCCAGCAGTCCTTCTTCTGCGTATATATCCAAAGGAAATGAAAACGGAATATCAAAGATATTTTGATATCTTTTGATATCAGTGTACCCCCGTGTTCACTGCTGCATTATTCATAGTAGCCAAGACATGGAAGAAACCTAAGGGTTCATCAACATGAATAGATAAAGATGTGGCATATGTGTACAATGGAATATCATTTCACCACCACAAAGAAGGAAATCCTGCCATTTGTGACAACATGAATGGACCCTGAGGATATTATGCTAAGTGAGGAAGGTGAAGTGAAAAGAGCAGGCAGGGCAAGTTCATCTCAGACCACAGCGCCACCCTCAGGGGACCCTGGCCTAGATACTGTCCTGTAGGTGGAGTTAAAAGGAAGAAACAAACGTGGTAAGACAGCCAGGTTCTCCTCCAGAGTCTGTCGTCAGCACCCAACTGTGTGCCCTGGGGCAATTGCTTCAACTTCAAGACAGTTTCCTCTTTGGGGGGCACCTGGGTGGCACAGTCAGTTAACCATCAGATTCTTGGTTTCGACTCAGGTCATGATCTCAGCATCCTTAGTGGGGACTCTGCTTAAGACCCTTAAGACCCTTATGACCCTTTCTCCCTCTTGCTCTGTCCCCCCAACAGAAAGCTTATGCTCTCTCTCTCTCTCAAATAAATTTAAAAAAAAAAAAAAAAAAAAAGACAATTCCAGAACACTTTGGGCTAGATCATCTCCAAGGTCACTTCCATTGCATGATTTTTCAAAAATATTTTGGGATTTTTAAAATTCTTTTTCCTCAGATTTGCATGTTTATTACATATTCACCTCAACCAATTACAGAAGTGTATAAAGTAAAAAATGAAAGATCCCTACCCACCTCCCCAGACCCACTTCTCCCAGACCATTGCCCCTGGGATTTCATTCCACCCATTGGAACAGAGTTTAAGACCATGGACTTCAGAACCACATAGCCTGGTTCAAATCCATTTCCTTTCCAGCTCCAGGGTCTTGAACACAGCTGTTTTCCTCTGTTTTTTTCCTCTACTGTAAAACTAGGAAAATAATTGTATATTTGTTACTACAAATTAACGCAGCAGTGCCTGGTACACAGTTTTCAATACACATTAGCTATATATTTACTGCAGCAGACCTCCACTTATAGTAAGGGAACAATAAATATAGCAGATCTGGGTGCTACCTGCAAAGAGTCCACCCAGGCAAATGTCACGACCCACTCTGTGTCTGTTCTTGCCCTTCTGTATGGCTCCTTTACAGAAAGAAGGAAATGATAGTTAGAGCAGAGAATAGATAAGGAGCCTCCCAGGACTGGCATATCACACACAGTGACAGTGTGCAATCCCTTCAGCCAAAGGAATCCAAAAGGAAGCTGGGCAATGCATTTAAAAACAAGCATCTGAAAATAGCATTCCAGAAAAGGCAACAGAGGAAAAAAACAACTTTCCTATCAATAATAACGTGTTTTTTAAAAATCCATTCAATGCAGTAATTCCCGGTCAGGTATTATCTGGTGTTGAATACTGCATTCTGTAGTAGAGGAATGCAGAAATACTTTCTGATGAAGAGAGCAAACAAAATCTCACCCGTCCCCATGCATGACTGCCTTCCCCACATTATGTCCTGCCTTCGTAGCCTATGGAAATGAGCTGAAGACATTTCCAGGCTCCTCAGCAGACCCCCAGCCCAAATGCATGCTAACAGACTTCTCCTGATCATCATTACAACAGCTCACCCTAGGCTGATTGAGTGGCCTGTGACCTCCGGCTCCCAGTCTCCTCCAATAGCCTGGTCCCAGGAAGATTTTGCCTCTTTCCCCCAAGCACCAGCTGCCCCTTTGTCCGATTCTTTAAGATTTATCCATGTTGGGGGTGCCTGGGTGGCTCAGTGGGTTAAGGCCTCTGCCTTCGGCTCGGGTCATGATCCAGGGTCCTAGGATCAAGCCCCGCATCAGGCTCTCTGCTCAGCAGGGAGCCTGCTTCCTCCTCTCTCTCTCTCTGCCTGCCTCTCTGCCTGCATGTGATCTCTGTCTGTCAAATAAATAAATAAAATCTTAAAAAAAAAAAAAAGATTTATCCATGTTGTAGAGGGGCATCAGGAGCTGTCAAGAAAACCATGGGCTTTGGAGTTAGGACCTGATTTAACTTCTGTAAATCTCAGTATTCTTATCTTTAAAATGGGTTAATAATAGTGTCAGCATCAGAGGCTTGTGGCAAAGACTAGTGAGATGATAATGTAGTATAAAATGCCTACCATTAGACCTAACATATAGATGGTACTCAATAAATATTTGTCCCCTTCTCATTTCGTATCACAAATATACATCAGCCTATCTGCCCTACTGGGCTGTGAGCTCCTCAAACATAAGAACTCTGTTTTACTCATATCTCTGTCTCTCATTCCATGTGGCTCCAGACTCCAGACTCCTAGTGTACAGTAGGTACCCAGTGTATAGGCTATTTATTGCCATAATAATTCTGCATAGCAAACCAAACTTAAAACAATCATTATTTAGTTCATGATTCAGCAATTAAGCAGTTTAAACTAGGCTCAGTTGGGTGGTTTTTTTAGCATGGGCTGAGCCTAGCTGCAGGTCGTATAGGCTCTGACCTGAGGATAGGGGATGGTGGGACAGAGTGATGGACATATGTCTTTCATCAAGCAGCAGCTGAGCCTGAGTCTGTTCACATGGCCGCTGGAAGGGTTCTCAGAGTGGAAAAGAGAAAGTCATGAGGTCCAGCCTCGAGACTGGCACAACATCCCTTCTACCACATTCTGTCAGCCAAAGCAAGTCACAAAGCCAGCTCAGACTCAAAGGGAAGCAAAATAGGCTCCATCATTCCAGCTTCCAATGGGAAGGTAGAGTCACATTTTGGAAGGCATGGATTCAGAGAGGAGTGGCAAGTTATCGCCATTTTTGCAATTTACCACACCCAGTTTTTGAATGAAAGAAGTTAGTTAGGGAGAGAAAAATGAACCGAAAAGTCAATAAGAAGAAATGTCCAATTTATGTTCTTATGGTTGTGGGCAAGGACACTTAAATTCTAGGTTGCTCAATACAAGCAAGATGAAAATTGACCTCTCAAACCATTAAGTAGTTGAGCATTCTCTAAGGTACGGTAAAGAGAATTTGTGCCAATTGGGGGATAAATCAAGACACTCCTCTGCCAGTGTCTTGGGAAGGCAGATGAGCCTGGATTTATCGAGGACACTCAGCCTCCTGACAGCAGTATAATTACCGACTCCAACATCATTAATCAGCAATCACTGACGACCAAGGGAGTCTATAAACCTCTAACTCTCTGTTCCAAAATTGATTCGACTTAAAAACAATTATTTAAATTCCACATACTTGAGCATTTGGCCTAGGAGAACAAAGGAAAAAAATATGCAAAAGAGAAGTTTGTATTTTTATTACTCTCTATCTCCAGAATACCTTTTATCAGCCTTCCAGTAATTTGATGGATCTTCTGTTTTACACACACACACACACACACACACACACACACACACACAGCTTCTGTCAGATAGACTCACTAATACCAAATTAAATGGATTAGGAAACCCTCCATCTCACCTACTGCAGAAAATCTGGCATTCCCTAAACTGTGTGTGAATTTCCAGGAGTAGTGGCTCACATTCTTCTGGCCACTCCTTGCTACCAACTGCTTCCTCACTATCACCCCAACTCCTGCCATTCCCACCTCTCTCCTTTCTTAAGATGTCCTGGCATAGCTCAAAACCTCTTGTCCTCCTTTCCTGAAAAGTTCTTTGTACACAGCTTCATGCAAGTTTTTACTGAAGGTTTTGTGGCCACAGAGGGTAATTACAGCACAAAGTAGGAAGTAAATTTGATAAGGGAAATCTGTGTTCTAAGGTGGGCCACCAATCCAGAAGGGAAATCCCAGTCCCGGCCCCAGGGCCATTCTGGGTTCTCCCTTCTTCCCCACCTGCCGTGGCCCCAAAAAGTGCCACTGATATGGAAGTAAAAGTGTATAAACTACCCCCTTTGTTTGTGCTCAGGCCTTAGGCCTTGGGAAATTACTGTCCTCTGAGCCTGCCAGGTTAAACAAACCTCCTATTTTCCAAGGTCTCCAAGTACCGCTTGTTTTTTTGGCCAGGATCCAGTCCAGGTTCCGTAACAAATTCACTCTCAGACAGACATCACTTTTCTTAATTTTGGTGGCTTCTGCTCACCAGCAGGGCTTTCCTTTCTGGTTCTGCCTCTCATGTGCTGTAGCCTTATGCCATGACACTGTGCCCCATGCTTTCCCAAGAGCTCCCTCTAGACCACTGGGCCAACTCCTGCAAGTCTGTTCTTCTGTCCTCTCATCTCTTCCCCCTCCTGGGTGCTAACAAAACTTCAACATTTCTTGTTGAATATATTTATTTTTTTTTAAGATTTTTATTTATTTATTTGACAGATAGAGATCACCA